CACATCTTATATGCAAGTTTTGAAGAGTATTGTTTTAAGGAAAGATCACCTTGCAATAAAAACAAAACCAAAAAAACCCTGAACCCAAAACCTCAACATTCCATTAGGAATATTTTGAGTATGAAAACAGTCCATCTTCCGTGTCCCTGTAACTCCCCTTCCATTGTACAGGTAGTGAACAAGTTCTGGTCTGGAGTGCCAGTCTCAGTTCCCTGCTCATGTCTCATCATCTGTGAATATGCCCACTTTCTTTTGCAAGAGGTCAACTGATATGGCAGATAAACATCAGTTTTATCCAGAAACCACATTAACTCCTTTCCCAGGACATTCAGCTCATCTTAAGTAGAATAGAAACTATTTCAGTGCTTGATTGTATTCTGTCAAACAAGACATTCTTTCAGGATGTTCATTGTCGTTTTGGGATTCTTAGAAAGGCTGAAAGGAGCAGATTATGTGTAATTCAAAGGAAGGTTTACCCTTCTTTAATCCAATAAAAATGTTTCCCTGCCATTGGAAGAACTATCACCCCCACATATTGTCATGTTTCCAGAGGATGAATATTGTTGGATATTGAAGCATGGATTAGATGATTCTAGTCTGGTTTGGCTGTTACTCAGTTCCTGTTTATCTGCTAGTTCTGCTCAGTAATACAGTTTCTACAACTCTGCAGCTTCCCGAGGAGGGGACATGGAGAGGGAGGTGCTGATCTCTTCTCCCTGGTATCCAGTGACAAGATGGCTGGGAACGGTTCAAAGCTGCATCAGGGGAGGTTTATCCTGGACATTTGTTTTGCCAATTATTAGGCCTAGCATAAAGGACACAGCCAGCATAAAGATGAACCAAGAACCAAATTGTATTTGGTACAAAAGGGTCAGTACATGGGTGAGCGCTGGGGGTACAAGTGTCAGTCAGATTATACATAACTGATATCAATCCGACTGACGCCAACAATGACCGCACAACCAACAATGGGTGGAATAAATGGTGACATGCAGTTTCCCATAGAAAGGATGGGAGACAACTGAGTCAACAAGCCAAACACATAAGACCAAGGAAGCCACATACTCTACAGAGCCCACATTTACAAAAGCCAGACCTGACTGGAACCCAGTCCCAGGGAGGCAGGAGGTCCTTCCCCAACAGGGAACTCTGCACAGGGCATCCACCTCACAGACAGACACTGCCCCTGCTTGCAAGTGGTCCCAGCTTTTATCCCTAAGTGGGACACCTGACCTTTGGTTACTTAATGTGGGACCCCTGGGGCTCCTTTACCCAATGGCTCTGTCTGCCAGGCCGGCTGCACCCTGGAGGGAAGCTTAAAGGCAAACTCACCCCCCCCTTTGTGAAGGGCTGTGGGAATCACCCAGATGTCACCCTTAATTTGGGGCTTGGGGCTGAAGCCCCAGCATTTCAACATTAGGGAGTATTTCTTTATTGAGAGGATGGTCAAACACTGGAACAGGCTTCTTAGAGAGATGGTGGATGCCCCAAGCCTGTCAGTGTTTGAGGCATTTGGACAGTGCCCTTAATAACATGCTTTAGCTTTTGGTCAGGCTAGATGATCACTGTAGATCTCTTCCAACTGAAATAGTCTGTTCTATTCTACCAGTTTCCCAGTCAGAACTTGACTTTACTCTATGCAGTTTTCCACATTACTCCCGAAATATGCATTAAAATTGGCATCATCAGTAGATACCTTCCTTTCTCAGATGGTGAGGGTAGTTTAAGCAATAGATTGATAAAACTGGTAAGTGTAGAAAACTTGTATTTAATACCTCTTAATGCTTGGCTAAATACCATCTGGGTTTTTCAGTTTGTTACTTTTTTTTATCAATTCTCATAAACTTTTTCCTTCTGACATTTCTTTGAATTCCTTGGACTCATTCTTAGTGAAGAACAGCTCTACTGTGGGATGTCTTCTCACCTCTTCTCTGATCCTAAGAATTAATTTACTGATACTGTTATGTTCTCCTTGCCAGTCAGCCTTGTTAATTCACTGGAAGACATCTTTTCTCCCAAGTAAGCCTTTGGTGATTCAGTAGGCAGGCTAAGCATATGTTGGCTCACTTAAACTTACCAAACTAGTTATCATTAACAGTTAGTCCACTTGCAGGTCTTATTTTAAGGTTACTTGCAGAATGCTGACCTGTAGAGAGCAGATGTTCAGGCAGTAGGTGCTGTGATACACAATCTGGAAGGCACAGAACAGCTGCTTGTTTCTCTTTTTCAAACACAAGCACTGGTGCTGGAGCCAAGTTCTGGTGTGAGATCATTTGTCTTGGAGCAGTGCTAAGCTGGCTATCCGTACGTGCTCTATGGAGAGGAGAATCTGTTGATATCAAGTAATTCTCCATCCTTTAGAACAGTGTAGGAAAATTAATTTAGTGGATATTTAGCACGTTAGTTAGTGGGAGAGGACATTTTTTTAAAATATTGGAGATAAGTGGGGAAAAAACTGCTCTCTAACAGCACAGTACCAGTTTTCTAACAGACTTTCTTCTAGCATTTTTTTGCAAGAAATTTCCTTTCAATATTTAATTTCCTTGATGCGTGAGTGGAGGGATGTGATGGGGCAGAGCATGTGAAAGGTGGTTGATACTTCCAAATACAGCCCTTACTTCTGAACTTTGGTGACTCTCAAGCAAATCCTTTTTGAATTAAAACTAGAAAATCTTTCTACTTTTTTCATTAAAAGGCTTTTCAAGAATCAAACTTTATCAGACTAAACTGTGACATTGATTTAACCTGTTCCAAAGTGGTTTTCTACCAGAAATTATTTCTGTGAGTTTGTTTTGATGATGTCATAATCAGTATTTACAGCCTTACTTTGTTCAGTGTTTTGCAGGCGTAGGTAGATAGGGGAAGTAATGTCTACAAAGGATTCTTGGTCCAAAAGAAGCCAGAGAATAGATAAATCTTGTAAGCACCTTAATTCAGAGCTGAAGGCATTGTCTTGTGCTACTGATGAGCTTTTTTTCTGTGTTCAAAATAAAACTGAATGTAAAAGCAGAGTAAAAAGTAACAGCAAGGGTGAAACTAAAAGTAGAGGGAGTAATGAAAACTCAGAGGTTGTATATGTCAAAAGATGGCCATCAGACAGGATTTGGTTTACAGAATAGGAAAGTGGTTCTGCTTAGAGCACTTGGGAGCTTTCCCGTGACCTAACAGGTATGTTGAGGATGTTGCTAAAATGTTTTTAGGACAGGCTGACTGTTGAGTATCCAGGAAGAGATCACTGAAAAGAAAAGCAGAGGCCAGAATGAGTAAGTAAATAGACTTGCTTGTAGAGTTGATTTGTTGAAAGGTTCACTATTTGGAAGGAAGAAAAAAAAAAAAAAAAAAAAAAAAAAAAAAAGGTGGAGGAAGCAGATTTTGTTAGGCAAAAGTAAGGAAGGCAAGCTTTGTGAAAATTATCAAAAGTTGTGTAACAGAGTAACTGTAACATGACAATTTCAGTGCAGTGGAGAAAAACAAGTGTGCCAGTGCTCAGGGGCAAAAGGAGGAAACGCTGAGAAGTGGACACGAATCCTTGCATGAAACCTGGTTTTCAGTGAAAAATGAGCACCAAGACCTGAGGGGAGCACACGACGAGACAGCAATACTCAGGTGTAACCTGGCTGTGTGATCCTAGAGCTGTAGATAAGAGAAGCTCTAGGATCCGAGCTCTACTGGAGAGCAACTGGAAGAGTCAATCCTTGTAGAACTCATCAGACATTCTGTATCTTCACTGGGAGCATTTTTACTTCCTGGTCTCTCCCTCACTCCACTGTAATCCCATTTCACAGAATTACAGAATTGTCTAGGTTGGAAAAGACCTTGAAGATCATCCAGTCCAACCATCAACCCAACATTGACAGTTCCCAACTCCACCAGATCCCTCAGCACTAAGCCGACCCTTCTCTTAAACACTTCCAGGGATGGGGACTCCACCACCTCCCTGGGCAGCCCATTCCAACACCTAACAACCTGTTCTGCAAAGAAATGCTTCCTAATATCTAGTCTAAATTTCATCTATTTTGAGGGAGCAGCCACCATTTTAGCAGATTGCCCTGGAGCTTTGCATCCTCTGCTTTTGCTGCTGCTGTTTGTTTATCCATAAGAATCAATATCGGCCATATCCGTTCTTATCCGCAGTCTTAGAGAAGGGTTTGGTAAAAAAAATTGTGAAAGTCCCAACTGGTATATTCAAGAAGGGCCAGAGAGAGCTCTGAGCAGGCTGGTATAATGGATTTGGAACAAGAATGGAAAATGCTTGTGCAATACTTGAGAAAGGAGCGCAGTAGAAATAATAGAGGACTATATGGAGTTACCTAGGAGAGCATATGTATAGTAACCAGGTGACCTGGGGACACAGAAGAAACTTTCAGATTGTAAGGCATGTCCCAGCAACGTTAACATCTGTATTTAGCCCCCTCAAACAACTTCAATTACAAGTGACCTTTCTTCTCCAGCCATGCTGAGAATGTTACTACTCATTGTGGCTGTTCTCTTGGCTTGCTCCGTGCAGTGAGCAAGCAGGAATCGGCAATGTGATCTCCTCTGCGGTTGTTCTTCAGAAGGGCAGCAGTGCAGCTGAGAACTGGGTCACTGCTATTGACTGGAAAGTCGGTCCAGCCATAGAGACAAGCAGCAGTGTTATTACCGGTGGAGAAGTACTAGAGGTGCAGATTTTTAGAACATCTGAGCAGAGAAAGATCATTTGCTGTCAACAGCCAAAGATTCTATGTAGTGAAGGGCAGCATATTGATACCACAGTAGTGTCCTGGTTTTGGGGAGGGTTTTAAGTTTTAAAAGTTAAAAGTTTACTTAAGTATGTAACTTAGGTTTGGACCTGGTTTTAAGTACCAAATATGTTTTTGATGCTGTGAATCCTCATGGGTTCTCCTGCATATTAGCATCATTTTGCTATGCGTTGCCGAGTCCCACGTGCCTCTGTGCTCCCTTTGCCCAAGTGGGAATGATGCTGACGGGTGAATCTGCCTCACAGGAGATAAGCAGGGATGGAGGAGCTGAGCTGCTCTTTGTTTGAGAATTTGGTAGAGGGTTGTACTGTCATAGGGTAGGGGTCCCTCTGCCATATAATACTGTAGTTTCTTCCGTGTTGCCTGTGTTGGTAGAAAAGTTTGGTTATAGGGTGAGTGTGGAGGAACAATGGCTGTTGGCCAACATTTTTATAATATTACAGGTGTGTGTGAAAACCCTTTCAGGTTTTTTGCCATTACCAGTCCTAGAGGGGAAGGATGGTAGAAGTTTCTGTTCCTCACAGCAGCTAAGGGTAGCAGGCTACTGTTTTGAAGGTAACTTGAGAAAACAGAGCCCTTGAGCAGGCCCTTAAGCAAACAGTTCCAGCCTATCCCCTTCTCTAGTTGTTAACTTCTTCCTGGCTTTGTATCATGTTCTCCTAGGAGCTGCTCTATTCACCTTGTAAATTAGTTTTTTTTTTCATTTGGAGTGTAAAGCATGAAGTGCCCCCAGTCCCATTAGCTTAACTCTTCTGTAAAAAATCATGTTTTATGTATTGTCAGAAGGAATCTGCAGAGAGGATGAGAAAATTATGATATTTTCATATTTTTCCCAAAATAATTTTGCTTACATTTGTGTAGGTTAGGTCTGTAGCTCTAATAGAGTATTAGCTCTAACACTAATAAACTTTTTATTAACTTATTTTGATATTACATTTTCCTTTTTTTATTTTTCAGGGCAGGGAAACCGCCACCAGGCTTACATCTGGATGTAGTCAAAGGAGACAAACTCATTGAGGTATGAAAATAGGTTTTGTCTGTATTTGGTGTATCGTACACATAGGCACCAGCAGTAGAACATTTTCCAGCATCTTCCACACTTACAAATATTTCCTTTCTCTCTCATGTTCTTTATCTTCAAATCAGTTTTACTCTGAAACTTCAGAATGAAGTGAGTTTTCCCTTGCCTGTGCTCTAAGGCTGTCTCATATTGTGCAGTGCTTCCATCAGTTATCTCCAATTAGATGCACTGTTTGAAAGGATACAAAACTGCAGTGCTCAGCTAGCAAACAATGACACTGAGATTCCTCAACATTAAACCTGTCCTTGTAAGAGATAGCATAAATAAAATGTTTGTAGCAACAATGACACTGAGATTCCTCAACATTAAACCTGTCCTTGTAAGAGAGAACATAAATAAAATGTTTGTAACTTTGCAGTGCCTCCTATCTTCCCAACTTAATTTTGGACCAAAGTTGACATTTTGTTTCCTACAAAATACTTAAGTAGGAAGTATCAGACTGCAGCCCGATGGCACCTTGTCTTAGGAACTTTGGGAGCAGAAACGCGAATAACATGGGAAAAGAAATCTCAAATACGAAAGAGTGAGAGTAAAAACTCTTCACTTTGTACTGCTTGTTTGAGAAACTTTTTATTTTGTGTTACAGTAAGGTTAATTAGGCATCCTGTATTTTACAAGATTGTTGCCCTGTCCCACAGTATGAAATACAGTATGATTTTTCATCCCATATTTTGGATCCATGAACAGTGTTGTGATTAGCTCAGATGCAATGAGCTATTTTTATTACAGCAAAGGAATTTGTCTGATGTACACCACCTAATTCCCTCTTTCATATTTTGTCTTATATCACACTAACGGTAGTAAATTAAAAAAAAAAAAGAAAGGCTCTTTAACATGGTTGTCAGAGAGGACCGAAGCCAGTGAATGTATTTTAGCTGTGGAGACTCCTAACCTGCAATTGACTGAAACAGAGGAATGTTTCTGGGCAGCAAAAGTTTGCAAAATTGAGCCAACTTTTATGAACAGAAACATGGAAAATTAATAACTCAGTGTAGATCAAGAAAGATTTAGGTAGCTTAAAATCTTGGCTGTTTTTTAATGTATGCTACCACAGGAGCATCAGACACTATTAAGTGTTCCTTCTGGTGTCTAGCAGGAGAGATGCACTATTCAGAATTTGTTTAAGCTGCCAGAATATGCTTTGCATATAAGAGATGTCACAAATAGGTATCTCACAAATAAACTTGTGTTTTCCCGTGCCAGAAACCAGTAGAATGAGGCTTTTCTTTATAGTCCATTACTGTTGGTTTTACAGGCTGTTTGAAGAGTGCTCTTACTCTGGATTTAAAGACACAGAAAATTGGCAAAGCCAGTCTCGACTTGAAGTCTTTGCTGAGCCTTAATTTGAAAGGAATTAGATTCTAACACACATTTGCTGCATCTTCACAGGAGCTCATTAGTTGACACAAGACGTGGCCAAGTTGGTTCGTACCAGCTGCTCAGGCTATGCTGGGGCTGTTCTTCACTGGCTCTTTCTGGACACTGCAGCTTTCCAACCCTTCGCATTGTTTGTGTTCAAACTGTGGACCATGTATTCAGATTCTCATGGTACTGTTACATCTTCAGAATAATTCTGAGAGGTCAGAGAGCTGTAGTAGGACTGCTGCTCAGCTCAGCCTCTCACTGCCCTCCTAGCAGTAGCATCTGTGGTAAGGATTGTACTGGCACTGCGTTTTCCAGTATTTCTTTCAGGCCATGTGATGAGATTCAGTGAGCAAAGCCAAATGGCAGTGACTGGGTTTTGTGGTATGTGGCAGGTGGTCAAACATAATGCAGCCTTCCCACCTGAGAGACCTACTCTGAGATGAGATTTTTTTGTCATGTTTCTTTTGGATTTTTGAGCATGGAGAGAGAGCTTCAGCTTTGGAATGAGAGTTTATATGCAGCTTTCTGCTGCATTAATCCTCAGGTGTTAGGCAAATATCTGTTATGGAAGTCCTAGCCAGGACTGGAAAAAAAGCAGCAAAATGCCACATGAAAGCTGAGGATGCACCATTGGTTTTGGCAGTGGATGAGCAAACTTAGTGTTGACGGGTTGACAGGCAGCAGTATCGTCCTGATGGTGTCAGGCTTTGAGGCTGTGCTGCCCAAAGCTTTTGGACCTTCAGGAGGCCCAAGTTGGCTTTGTAAGCCTGGGGTCTCTGTCTGCATTGGGGAAGCGGGTGGTACAAACGTCCTGTTCCCTCTTCCTGCCATCAAATCTTGATAACCTAAAAGAGGTTCTTTTTGCTGCCTTGCAGACCACTGCTAACAGCCTTTGCTAGTCTGCTATCCAAGGACTCCGAGGTTCAGCAGAGGTTGTGATCACACAGAGGTTACAGCATGACTGCAGAGTGTGTGTTTTACCTCCTGAATATCTGATGTTGACTATCACCGTTCTCTGAGATGAGAGAGATCCAGCTTGCCTGCCATTCAGTGTGTAATATGTGTGCTGACCGCTGGTGACCAGGCGCAGGCACCCACGTGTGTAGCAGAGGCCTGACTTGCTGTCGTACTTTGGTCTGGTGAAGTAAGAATCAAAGAGCTGGCTTGGTGGGAAGTTCTAGCAGACTGTGTCACATAGGGTGCATTCCTGCTATTAGGGTTGTGTTGTGGCTTTGCACACTGTATATAGGTGATGAATTCAGTCCTCTAGACTGTGGTGGTTACATGAAACAAGGTACTGTGTGGGTATGTATGGCATCTGTGCAGCAAATAAACAGCATTTGAGTGTGAGCCATCTGTTTCTCTGTTCGGTATATGTGGCAAATAGTTGTTCAGTTTTGTCTTTTATGATAGACAGCAGTCACCAGGAAAGAATGTTCTTAAATCTTGTGAATTACTGGGCACTTGATACTAACCGAGCCATCTGTATCCCAGGTCTTTTGCAGAGGTCTGAGGTACACCTTGTGATTGCTGGGTCTGAAAAGTGCCACATTAAAACAGGCCATGAAGTGTTTAAGCTCAGTGTATAAAGGATGACACTGGGTTATAACTCAGAGGCACAGAAAATTTTGGAAACATTATCTTGAAAGCAAAGGAAATAAAATTAGTTTCTCTGCTGATGGTTTGTTGCAGTATTTCCTATTTATGAATTCATTTGTGTCTTTGCAAAATCTCTTGATATGCTGACAAGTAAGAATGGTATTGTTTTCTGTGTAACGAGTGCAGATGAAAACTTACAGGACACTTCTGTTTTCAGTTGTGGACAAGAATGAGAAATTGCTTGACCAGTTTTTATGGTACTTTAAATTGTGAGATAACGGCTTGTGGAGCGGAGCACTGCAATGTGGAGTAATGAATCAGCTTCTGAAGATCCACTTGTTTGTGTCAGAGCTGTGTTTACATGGGATTTTTTTCAAATATGCAAGAATAAAAGAGAAAATTAGTGCTTGTCTCTCTTACAGAATGAAATCATAGAATTCATGAGTACAAAGGTACTGAATTTAGGAAGATTCAGATTGCTGAATTGAATGAGTAAGGTCCTGTGTAATATTGGACAGACATCCATTGCTATGAAATTGAACCCTCAGAAAGTCTAACCAGCATTTCTCAAAAGATGTATTGTAACAAATGCTATGGTATTCACAGATGAACAGCTGGATGAAACAACTGTAATCTTAAGGGAAGATATCAGTGAGACTAATAGAATGATAGCTGTTGATTAAGGCTTCATTTTGCCAGTTATCAGGCCTAGCATAAAGGACACAGTCAGAATAAAGATGAACCAAGAACCAAATTATATTTTATACAAAAGGGTCAGTATGTAGGTGAGTGCTGGGGGTACAAACAAGTCAGATTATACATAACTGACATCAATCTCACTGACCAACAATGACACCGCACTACCAACAATGGGTGGAATAAATGGTGACATGCAGTTTCCCATAGAAGGGATGGGAGACAACCGAGTCAACAAGCCAAACACATAAGACCAAGGAAGCCACATACTCTACAGATCCCACATTTACAAAAGCCAGACCTGACTGGAGCCCAGCCCCAGGGAGTCAGGAGGTCCTTCCCCAACAGGGAACTCTGCACAGGGCATCCACCTCACAGACAGACACTGCCCCTGCTTGCAAGTGGTCCCAGCTTTTATCCCTAAGTGGGACACCCGACCTTTGGTTACTTAATGTGGGACCCCTGGGGCTCCTTTAACCAATGGCTCTGTCTGCCAGGCCGGCTGCACCCTGGAGGGAAGCTTAAAGGCAAAATCACCTCCCCCCCCTTTGTGAAGGGCTGTGGGAATCACCCAGATGTCACCCTTAATTTGGGGCTTGGAGTTGAAACCCCAGCATTTCAGGCTTGCAGGGAAAAGCATAACAAAAGTGTGCTAGCATGAAGAATGTACAGAAGAGATTGATCTGTTCAGGTAGAGTAAAAAAAAAGAAAAAAAGATTGAAATAATATTCAACCAGAAAGGACTGAGGAAACCATGTTTTAGTTCAAGCTCTTTATCAGTGACTTACACTTTCTGGTTAATTCTGAGGGAAGGGTCTTGTGAAAAGCAGCATTTGTAAAGAAGACAGAAAATGTTAGTTAACTAGCCAGGCAAGAGCAGAATCTAGTGGACTGTTTCAGCATATTTCTTTCTTGAGTTTATCTAAGTTACACTGAGGCTTTGAGGTAAGTTATTCCCCACCAGACACAGATAGATTCAGAGGAGACACCTACATCTTTTAGAAGTCCCAATTGGAGAAAATCACTTGCATTTTGCATTTACACCCTATTTATCACCAGATAACGTACTTGAAGGTGGATTGCTAATTAAGCTGTGATTTTCATCTTACCAAATGAGACGTGGACTCATGGAGAATATTTTTTTTTTGGTACTTTAAGTATTGGTGCTCTTATGGATGTTCTGCCAGCCTATGTGTCACTGAGGGTACTGATGAAGTTCTCATTCTATCTAGCCATTTGTTTTAACACAACTTCTTGAAATTTATTATCTTGTAGTGCTGGTTGAGAAGTTATTTGGTTTAGTAGTGGGAATTGGGAGCTAATATATACGCACAAATTGTTCACCGAAATCTTATTTTAAGAAAGCAGGCCAAAATATGTAAGTCAGTAGATTTCACAAAACATTTACTCTCATGAAATCATGCTTAAAATGTATACCTTGAGTTAGTTGGGAATAAGACATTGGCAGATTATTACCTAAGGGACCAGTTAATTGTAAAGTCATCATGATATGTATGAGTATAGAGTTGAGTTGTTCCATTAATTCTTCTAGTGACCTAAAAGAGAGCATAAACATAAGTAAATAAATTACTGAATAACAGATTATGAGAACTTGCTGAACAATGAGAAATCCAACCTAGAAGATGTCAAACACATCTGAGGGGGGAAAATCTGAAAAAAATCATGAGGAAGTGTCATCTGAATGCAGCAGTGTAAAAGCCTTGAAATTAATAATTGGTGGGCAGGTAAATAGAGGTAACTTTGCAAGGTGATTTGTAGTAGAAAATAAGGTCCATGTGATTTTTATGCTTGCAGATAAGGCAGAGGAATATAAATACTGGGTCTTATTCCAGGCTGTCTCATTTTTTGGATGACTTGGTAGTGCCACTGTCTAGGTGCTCATTGCATCAGTTTTCTGGTAGCTCAGAAAAATCCTGAGCTGAGCATGTGGTTTATACAGCTGGCAAAACTGAGGAGCAAACAACTGATTGACACGAATGCTGCTGCCAGAAAGAGAGGTCCTGCCTCATCACCCAGCCCAATAATCCATTGCTTCACTAGAGCCAGCTGGGATGTGCTTCTGACTGAAGGCAAAGTGATTCAGTCCACTAAGAGAGTAGAAGTCGAACACAACAAAAAAGTGCTTTGCAAGCTGAAAACTTTGCTCAGGCGTGTGGCAGTGCGATTGAGGAGAGGATTGTATAGCTGGGAGTGGGAAGGGGGGAGAGGGGAGAAATCCTTGTGCTCTAGCAGGCAAGACATTAATTCAGCTCAAACCATCTTAGGAAAGCAATGCTTTCCTGAACCAAGATCTGTTTTTTTCTGATGGAAAATGTGTCATCAACATTCCCTTGATCATGCTATTGAAACGTTATGTGTGGGCTTTGGTAAATGTTTCAGAAAGCAGGAGAAGCCATCTGTTAACAGATCTGTAATGCATTGACAGCCTTTGACTTGTGCGGCTGGAAGCAAGAAAACACAGGTTAGATTAAGATCTTCGAGTACGGTGAGAAAGAAGGCTGCACTGCCTGGGTACGGTTAGGCACAAGGAGTTCCTTTCAGCAACACTGTTGATAGAAATATGCGGTGTACATTGTGGGACTGTGTGAACATGTTCCTTTGCTTTTCAGAGGTAGTTTATGTAACTGATATTACAATATGTAAGATCTTGTTTTAAGAAGAGGTTAGAACTAGGATTAATTAAGAAGAAATGCCTAAAATTAATGGTTTACTTGAATAGACTAATACAGATTCTTATCACAGTACATATTCAATGAAGTTTGACATCTTTGTTATAAAGGTCTTAAATCTCCTGTATGTCCATTTCTATAAAGAAATAAAGTTTTGCTATTATGTATGGGACTGGAGATCATTTAACAGATTTCTGGCTTAGACAAGGCTCAAGGTCATCTGCATTGAGGAATGTGTAAAAATCATTGGGAGCAGATGTGAGAGGTGTCTCTTGTATGAGACAGTCTCATCCTTTGAAGGATTAGTCTAGTATTGGCTGATAAAGAATGATATAACTGGGATTCTCCCATATTCAACTGTTGTGATTTTACAAAGAAAAGATTTGAGTTTCTGTACTTGTCAGACAACTGAAATATTGATTAGCTGTTGATGCTTTGTTTTGAACTTGCTCTGTTTATCCATGTTCTTGATTTTTGTCAGGAAGATCCAAAAGATTATAGGAGTCTAATATGCTTCTCTGTTTGATATTCTACCTCAGAAGCTCATCATTGATGAGAAGAAATACTATCTCTTTGGGAGAAATCCTGATCTGTGCGATTTTACCATTGACCACCAGTCTTGCTCCCGGGTCCATGCTGCCTTGGTCTATCACAAACATCTCAAGAGGGTTTTCCTCATAGATCTAAACAGCAGTAAGTAGTGTGACATTTAACCAGATAGAAGTACAATATTTCAGTGCTTAAACGTTTCTGAATCTGAGACACTTTTCTGTTGTTTTCACTGTGTGGATAGATGACTATAATCTGAATTAGCATCCTAGTGAAAGATTGGCAAGGGTTAGGAGCAAAGGAGTATTTGCTCCAGTCAGCTTACATCTGCTTCCCTTGGTATTTAAAACAACATTTCTAGGCTCTTAAGAGGCTAAGGGGGTGGAGGAGAGTGACTTGGCCTTCCCTTCACAGTTCTAATGAAGCTTTCTCTTCTGAGGGTGGCTTCCCAAGATCGAAAACCTGACATACTGTTTTTTCCACTGAGGGAATGATTCCAGACATGGTGCATTGGGACCTACAAGAATTCAGAAAGTAAATGGTGTTTGTCATTTATTTCCATGACTTTTTGAGGACTCCTGGTGTGTGTTATCTTAGTTCATGAAATGGTAGGTAAAATGTACATTGCTAATGTTTCAAGTAGTACCTCAGTGATTTGTATGTGAGAGCAACCATGTACAGTTTCTGAACTTCTCAAGCCTTGAACTTGAATACTGTGAGTCCAAGCTGATGACTAACAGGCTAATGTGCATTTTGATGTTCTCAGCACATGGCACATTCTTGGGTCATATCCGTTTGGAACCTCACAAACCCCAACAGATACCTATTGATTCCACGGTTTCATTTGGTGCTTCTACACGGGCATATACTCTGCGAGAGAAGCCTCAGACACTGCCATCAGCTGTTAAAGGAGATGAGAAAATGGGCAGTGAAGATGAAGAGCTCAAGGGCTTGCTGGGCCTGCCAGAGGAGGAGACAGAACTTGATGTGAGTACGATGGCATGTTGTACCTAAATGGCATTTCCAGCTAAACAGATCATATTCCCCACTGGTTTGCTTACATTCAGGTTCTTAATTTCTTGGCCTTGAAGATAGTCTGAGGTGTCTTCTGTGGGCAGATAACCCCAAACCATCCCACCATGATAAGCCTATGATTGTGCTGCTTCTCAGAATGAATGACCTACTGTCCTGGTTTCAGCTGGGATAGAGTTAATTTTTCTTCTTAGTAGGTAGAATAGTGCTGTGCTTCAGATTCAGCACAGGGTTTAGTATGAGAAGAGTGTTGATAATACACTGATGTTCTCAGTTGTTGCTAAGAGATCAAGGACTTTCCAACTCCTCATGACCTGCCTGTGTGCAGGTGCACACGAAGCTGGAATTGAGCATAGCCAGAGCGCTGGACCCAAATTGGCCAATGAAATACTCCATATGTGATAGTTTAGGCCCTGCCGGGACCAGAGACCACATTGCCGTTGTCTCTCCCCCACCCTCGGACCAAGTAGGGCACAAACCCCGGGGTTAAAATAAGGAGAAATTTAATACAACAGTGTAATAAACAATCTGAACAACAACAATAGCAATAATAACAACAATAAACAGTAATAACAGTAAACAAGACAAAAGATACACAGAGAAATACTGCAGTGAACACGCTAGCCCGGAGCGCATGCTTGCCACAACAAAAGCCACAAAAGGAAAGCTTCCCGCGCTGCCCCGCCAGACCTGATGTCAGCATGGTATCAATAATCCGGCTGGAGATCACTTCCCCCTGCTTGGGAGAAACTTAACCCTATCCTAGCTGAACCAGGACACCGTATCATGTAGCATCATGCTCAGTATATAGAGGTGGGTCAACTGGGAAGGAGGAGGTTCTCCCTTGCTTCTGGGATTGTGGTTTCAGGATCTTGTTTTTTTGGGATCACTAGCCAGGAACAGGCTGGGTATCAGTCAGAGGGTGGTGAGCGATCACATTGTGCATTACACCTTTGTACTTTCTATTATTGGTATTGTTTTATTTTCTTTCCATGATTAACCTTTACCTCATCAATGTCACCTGCACCCTCTGGGCAGGGGAGGATGAGTGAGTGGCTGTCTGGCATTTGGTTGCTGGCTGGGTTTATAAACCAACACCTGGTAATCCTTCTAGTCCAGTGGCCTTCTCACAAAGCTTTGCCAGGGAGTACATGTTCTCCAACAAACATTACCCCAGGTCAGGGGTGATTTCCCACACTGTTCCCCGTTGCCAGGTAACAGTGAATGCTGCCCTATTTCCTACAGTTAGATAGTGAAGAGGGGGTATGTGGCATTCAGGGGATTGCTGAGGTTGGAAGGGACCTCTGGGATCATCTAGTCCAGCCCCCCTGCTGAAGCAGGCTCAGCTGGAGCAGGTTGCCCAGGATGGTGCTCAGTCAAGTTCTGAATATCTCTGCAGAGATTGCACAACCTCTCTGGGCAACCTGTCATAGCGCTGGAGCACTGTCTTCCCAGGGGTCTAAAGACAAAGCTGAACAGTCTGCTGTGGTCTTTTGATATGCACAATCACACGATTAAATCAGACTTCACACACTAGTTGCTTAAACTATTTTGTCTCCAAATTTGTTATTAGAACCTGACAGAGTTTAATACAGCCCACAACAAAAGAATTTCCACACTAACCATTGAGGAAGGGAACTTGGATATTCAGAGACCAAAGAGAAAACGGAAGAACTCCAGAGTGACATTCAGTGATGATGATGAAATCATCAATCCCGGTAAGTAGTTTGCTTTTATCTTTCCAGTAATTCCATAGGGATTCCAAGGCCCTCTTTCCAGTATTCCCATGGGGATTCCTCATGGCAGCATGTGGATCAGGAGAACAGAAATTGGGCAGTCAATATTTGGGATCTGCTATTTCAGAGATGCTGCCATCTGGCTCACTTAAGTCTTTGAGCTATCTCTGTTTCTTTTCTACCTGTAAAATAACTGCATGATTTGTCCAGGACAGGGATATCACACTCAGCTTCATTGTTTAGAATTCTGTGAGATGTTGGAAAAATCTCATGGGTCCAAAACAAGGAAAGTGTTTTAAATATTTTGCCTTCTTTAGAAGCTAAACAGGAATTAAACTTGTTCGTTTTTCATCTGTCCCCTAATGCTTTCCTTACCTGTTGCCTAATGGATATCTATCTCAAGCTCAGAGGTTCTTTGCTATTTGTCTGCATATCTGAAACAAGTCATGCTGATTCAAAATGATGCTTTTGAAGATGTATCCAATTCTTAATTAGTATTTTTTCTCCCTTAGCTGTTTTACATTAATGGCATTGTTATTAATGATATTTTATATGGATGATATTCCTGTTAAGAAGAGTAGCTTATTAATGAGCATGTATTTTAAAATATAGTCTGGAGCTAGTTTCATTTGGCAGTGTTTACCACCCAGAATAACCATTTTGATTCATAAGGTGCTCAGAACATTCTAATGTAAACAGCAGTCATTCACATTACAAAAATGATACTTTTTTCAGACTTTCAGAGTCTCTGTATTGAATTCTTCTGACTCTGCCTTCAAGGTCCCCCAAGGACTTCTGGGGCTACCGGTGTGCCTTGTCAGCAGCAGCTCTCAGCCCATAACTCCAGCCTGTCTGCTCAGTGCAGACTGACCCTCCATCTGTTCCCCCTCCCCGTTCTCTGGCAGGGTGGGAGCCTTTACCAGAGTATCTGATAAGCCCACCCCGAGACAAAGCCACTGGGTGTCCCCTGAGCTCCTCTCTGTTCAGGTTTGTGCTTAGTGAGAGCTGTTAGAGCACTGGCTTTGAGAAGGAAGGTCCGTGTACCAGTTCTTCATATAGGTCCCTTCACCTGACAGATGTTTTCTCTTTTCCTGTGTGTTTACTGAAGGCTTCACTGTTCTTGCCTTTACAGAGGATGTAGACCCTTCTGTTGGCCGTTTCAGGAACATGGTACAGACAGCAGTAGTCCCTGTCAAGGTACAGAGTAACTCCCAACTTTCTAATTAATACATTACATTGATGAACTGACTTTATGAATTACACCTTAGAAACGTAATGTTCTGTGGTGGAAAGTGTTTATTGTTAAGCAAAAGTCATGTTCATATTTCACAACTGTCTGTCTCTTTTTTTTAGCAGATTTGACCATTTTCCTTCAAGTCCAGCTTTAACTCTTTACTTTAATAACACATGAGATCAGTGGCAGTTTTTTTTTCCTCCCAAAAAGAAACACTTTCCAGTGATTCAGTATGGTAGTTCCAGGCATCAGTTAAAATTGTGGGAAGTGTGGAAATAGAAAGTAAAAATGAGATGTTGTTTGTTTAAATACTGGAAGTGCTAAAGATTTCATAAGGTTGTCTACTAGAACTAGCAGGGTTAGGCTCTGAAATGCATGTGTTGCCAGTGCTATATTTAATTTGAATATGCTAGGAATAGGAAACACTTGCAAAACTTCAGGGTAGCTAAGCAACAGTGTAATAGCAATTTCACTTGTTGCTGGTATACAAGAAATAGTGGATATGGAAAAGGATAATTCTACATAAACCCCAGACTGCAGAAGAATGTTGAGCAGGAGCTAGACAAAATCACACAAATGATCTAGAAGTTGCAGTTTCTTAGTGTGGGGGAAGGAGGGTCTGTGTTGCTTGACTAAAGACCTACTCAGTCTTGCATTCAGGACAAGCTCAAGACTGGCAGCCCTGTATAGGAGTAAAGAGGTGCTCAGACCTGACCCAAGTTAAACCTGAGCTTCAACATCTGTCACTCCTTCCTGCACTGTGCACCTTTAAGAGTTCATTATTAACCAGTTTTCAAGGAAACTCGGAAGAAATCCTCTGCGACAAAGATTGGGACGTGGTCTCTAATATATGTGGCTGGTCTCGGTGTCTTTTTGGGGAAAATGGCATTGGCATCCAGTTTAAATAGTTTGCTTGGTTTGTGTATTTTGAATAATTCTTTAAATACTTCCATCTACAGAAAAAACGGTTGGAGAATCCAGGCTCATTGACCACAGATGATTCTGCATCACGACGTATGCAAAACTTCCCCTACAGTGGAGGATTATATGGTGGTTTACCTCCCACTCACAATGAGGCAGGTTCCCAGTCACATGGCGTCCATGGGACAGCACTCATTGGTGGTCTGCCAATGCCCTACCCCAATCTTGCCCCAGATGTGGACTTGACTCCTGTTGTGCCCTCAACAGTTAACATGAACCCAGCTCCAAACCCTGCTGTCTTTAATCCTGAAGCTGTGAATGAACCCAAGAAGAAGAAATATGCCAAGGAGGCATGGCCGGGAAAGAAGCCAACCCCTTCCCTACTGATCTGAGTTGGGGTTTGTTGAGGGAGGGTGGGAGTTATGAACTCCAGAAACTGTTTATGTGCAGTATCGTCTTTTTAAAATTTCAATGGCCTAACCAGATGTAATACCAAGATTGGAGAAGTGAAATATCCTTTAAAGATCTCTGTCTTCAAACGTTTTTATATGTCTGTTTAAAAAAAAAAAAATACAGCTCCCATCTCCTTTTGAACCAAAATATCTGGCAGCCTTTTCTTAGCCATTAGTGTCCTCAGAGGTTCTTACTCTGGATTTTGATCCATAAGTTGAAGGGGCAGAGTCATACAATTTAATCACCATTTATGGCATGACGCTGCAAATTCGTATATTTAGGTGTCGTGCTTACTGTGACTAACGTTCTGCTGGACTTGCTCACAGCAGGTCAGCTGTATCAGAAGTAAATGTTTGTGGGGCCAAGCCTTTCAGAAATCCCATTGGTATGAGTTCTAAAATACAGATCAGCTTTTATTTTTTTACATTTTCAAAACCCCACCAACATGGGGCTCTTTTTTTAAATTTTATTTTTAGTTTGGCTACAGCTTGTTTTCATTTCCACCTAAAACACTACAGCTTCCCATTAGCTCATGAGAGCATGGAGTTGAGATGGACAAGGAGTAGGTGGGCTTCCTTAGCTGTGTTCCAGTACCGTATGGGGGGGTGCTGGGTGGGTGGGTAAGGGGTGCACAGGGGGATGGAGCTGAGCTTGTGCTGGTGCTAGTGGCCACGTGCAGGCGTGGCAAGCCTAGGAGCGCCTGGCTGTGGATAGGCACTATCTGCACTCTACAAACAATAAACAAAGTCCTGTTGACTCTTTCCCCTGCGATAACTTAAGAGAACAGTTTCTTTTGAACTTGGTGGCCCTTCTAACTTAAATATTTTCGGTTTTATTTGCAAATGTAACGTGAGCTTAGAGTATATGTGAGGTGCAACAAGACATAAAAAACCCACAATCTGCACACAATTTTGGCTGCTAGTAACAGTAGGAGAGCATTGAGTGCTACTTAAAGCTAGAATTATGAATTCTCACTAGAATAAAGCAGTGTACAAGTTGGTTTCATACTGTTACATTTTTTTACTACTTCATCACTTTTTCCATTGAATAAAACAAGCTTGATTTGGATTGTTGCTCTACCCTTCAGATCATCTGTTTTAGATTTCAGAATGTGATTCACAAGTATTCAGACACTTTGTCTTACTTTATACAAGGTAAGGCCAGAGCTGTTTTTCATAGCTTTACTCTGGATTTTTTTTTTCATTCTATAATGCAGTTTAGCTACCTAGTGACATTCCTTTGTTGCTGGGGGAATTTCTCCATGAAACATGCACTCAAATGATGTAGTGTACCCAGCTGTTCGTTGTGTACAGTACTGTAGCTGCCCGGCTGAGTGCTGCTGGATCTGTGCTCACAGTGCACAGCTCTGGGGGCTGCTGGAGCGGGGCTGTGGTGCGGTGCCTGTGCAGTGTGCGCTGAACAGATGATCCAAAATCAGCGTGACCTCTGCACCTGCGGAGTGATTGCTTCTGTCATGTTACTGAGGTAGAAATGAGCTAGTGGGTACCCCATTCACAGGAGCAATGGCTTTAGGGACTGGTTTGTTCCCCTCCCCACGCCATCCTATCTAGCTCAGACTATTATATGGGTGAGTACAGCACCTTCTCCATGGTATAGTTGTGCTGCTCTGTTTAGTTGCTATTGAATATGATTCAGTCCTCCAACGTTCTGTTTCCAAACACTCCATGCTGGCTCTTAAAATCCTTCTCCCTTTATTTTTAGTTTTGCTTCTTTCTGGTATGTAGAATTTTATTTTTGCAGCCAGTCTGCTTTATGAAGGCAACTCTTCAGGGTAAGACTATTTAGGGCAAGTAAAAGTTGAACAGGTTTTCTTCCTCCTTTTTTCTGTTTTGGGTTGGGTTTTTGGGGGGGTGGGATGGGATGGTGGGGTTTTTGTTTTGTTTTTTTTGCAAGTGGCTCTTTGCAAGATTTTTCTTGAAAAGGGAAGCTTTCCTGCTTATTGTTTTTTAAAGCTCTTCTCCTCCCTGGGTTTGAACAAGCTCTCATTATTTTAGAGCTTAGGGGCCATAGCTGGCCAGTACAGGAGGGGACAGTGTACATCTAGGGGCTTTGTACAGACGTTTGTACACTTGTGTAATATGTAATAGGCCTTTTCACACTTTCTGTTGAGCTTTTTACCTGTAACCTTTACTATGTTGTAAATTAAATGCAGATTTTGCCAGTTTGGAGAGTGTAGTGTGTTCGTTCCCAGCCTACACTTCTGCAGTTGAGACTGTGCATTGTTTGTGGCTTACTGAGGGATTTCTGCTGTGACAAAGTGCAGGTGTCCCTGCAGGTCTTGTTCTTAGTGGCTGGCTCAGGCCACAGCTCCTAAAGCTGCTCCAGCTTCTTTGCTCGTGACCTGTTTGCTGCCTGTGCTGCAGCGTATTGCACTTTTGCACGCAAGAGTGACACTTAACAGTGGATTTTAAACAGCAGTTGCCCTCTGTTTTCTGAGTGAAATTTTATCTGGTTCTGGCATAATCCTCTCTCTGCAAAAGTTGCACTTTAGAGCCCAACTTTGCTCTTCTCATTGCCCGGCTTGCTGCCTCCGACACAGAGACACGCTGTGTCTGGAGCTTGTCCTGGGCTCACTGGGGGAGCTGTAGTGAAAAACAGTGAACTGGGGACTGGTTAAAGATGACTGTGGTGCCTGCAGTGTAGCATTGAAAGGGATTCCCAAGCTTTGATCAATTTATTAATATTTAGGCTATGGTTTAGTATTCTCAATCCAGCAATAATTAAGCAGCTGGAGCAGTTACATTTTTCTGTGTGCCAGCAGAAGGCTGAATCTTCACAATTCATGTGCAAGCTGCTGTAGGTAGAAATAGTTGGTACAGGTTAAGTAGTTAACTTTGTGTTAGGATGTTTTAAGTGTTGGTGTGGTTAGCAGTTCATTTCCTATATTAAAGGAAGTATTAAAAAGGAGTCAACCTGCATGATAATCTAAAACACTCTGCAATGTGTGGAATGCAGAGATCTGAATGAAGAAGTGGTGAAGAGTTTGCAGCTAAAATAAATGATTGAGCCAGAGAATAAAGGCAGCGTTTTCCAGGAACATCTGTCCTTGCAGGGTTCACTGGAGTGTCATTGTAACCCCTCTCCTCTCTTTTGATTTTGAAATACAAGAATGCAGCACCCAGCAGGCATCCCTGGAGCTAGTCACGAGCTGAGCGAAGTTGTTCTATTCCCAGTGTTTTGTGGACTAAGATAGACCCTGTGACAACATGCCTGAAAGAATGTTCTCTTGGCAAGGAGGTGTCTTTTCCCTGGGGCCTTTTAGGAGAGCAGGGATAGCCTCCAGCAAAGAACAGGTGAGTGTGCCAGCTGGAGTGTGCGCTCATGCAGTTTTACCAAGTGCTTTGAAACACTCCATGGCATGGGGAAAGACCACAGTGGAGGGTTGGACTGGAAGACATGGCTTAGGGCAAGCCAGAGAACTGGTGTGTAATGGCTGTTACTGGGCTCAGAGGTAAGATGCTGTTCAGGCATTTCTTTCAAAAGCAGGCTAATAGAGTCAGGTAACTTGTAGGTGCTTTGATCTCAAACCTCCGTCTTAATCTGGCAGTGGTAGGTAAAGGGGGAAAATTGTTTCTGCTTTAACTTCTGCTCACCACCAGGAACAGCTCCTCAGATGAGCCATGTGGTGTCACTGGGACCTGCCAGCTTGGTGAGGGGACAGGAATGCTAGTGCAGGACAGGGGGCGTGAAGTAAGGTTGTAGCGAGTTCAGGACAGACAATCGTGTGGTTTGGATCAGTTTTCTAAATCAGCTTTCCCTGAAGGTCCCATAACCACTAAAGCAGGAAGAGGTACCTCACATACCAGCATCACATTAGTGCCTGAGACTACCCATGGTGCTTCCCCTGCCTCCCTCAGAGGTCCTGCCTGGCTTTCCAGCAGCATTGGTGGTTGATTCAGTCTTGTCTTTTACTTCTTACAAATTTCTCAGAGCAGATGTCTTCAGAGCTTTGAGGGAGAAGCAGCTGTAGAGTCTGAACCTTTGCTGTCCACCCTCTTGTCCAGAGCTGCCTTCTCATGTATTCTGGCATGCATATGTGCAAAGGTTGCAGTCACGTTCACAGAATGTTGGAGGAGGAGGCAGTCTTAAATACTAGAGCATAAGTACTTCTCTAGTCATTCTGACACATAGCCATGGCCCAGGTATTACTGTCATCTTGCAGAGGCCCCCAGATGGGCAGCTGCCTGTGTGTGCTGGCCTTTCAGCAGCTGGCCGGTAATACTGGGCTAACCTAGCAACTCCAGTCATGGCTCTTCTGACTCAATTCTTGGCTGCAATGGGTCGTTTCTGGTCTGGGGTTCCCCAACTATTTCTAGATATGTCAAAGAGGCCTTGTCTTGCTTGAGTCTAGAGCAAATGGAAGCAGCATTTCTTCTGGTGGGTGAGCAGTGGTGTGTTTATGCCCATATCACCCCAGGGCAAGACCTTTCTGAAAGGAGACGCAACCAATTTTCTCCCGTGCCTTTGTAAAAGTATTTTTTATAACTTGAAGAGCTACCAGGAGCTTGTTCTCTATTAACCTCTCCCACCTAGGCTTACCAGAGTGCTGTTACCTTGATAACAATTTCAGGGTTTGGTGAAGATGAGGAAAAGCCAGGAAGTGGACTGTTTAAGCAGGGGTTCTACTGCCTGCTTCAACTTGGATGCCTCAAGTAGCTCTGAAAATTCTTGCTTGTTGACGGGTCAGAGGTTTGTGCTCCCCTGCAGGGGGCGATACAGACCTTTAAGGTGAGGATGTGTCAGGCTGGTTTTCCTTGGATCCTAGCAGCTGGTGTGCTCCCTTGAGTTCATGTATCTTCTGTGCTCGTCTGTCTGGGGCCCTGCTTGTAGGATCACGGTCCCTGCATCTGTCTGAGGAGCTCTGACCTCCTGCATGTTGTAACCTCAGGCCCCCAGCTGCAGCCAAACAGCAGCAAAGTTTAGGACTTTGACAAGCAGTGCACTGTGACTCGGGGATGCCTAAAACCTGTGGAAACTCCAGGTGTCTGTCTGATGCCCTGCAAGGCAGTTTCTTCAGGCATTTTTTATGTTTTCCTCAGTTGAGTTTGGACACCAGAAGAGCAGGTAGAGAGCTGCTCATTATTGGCGTGATTTTCATCCCCATGACCTGAAGCTGACCTGTTCAAGGCTTATTCCCGACTTCTCTGTGGGAGCTTTTCTCTGTCCTGCAGCACAGAGATCATCTGCCTGCCCCTGAGTGTTTCTGCTTCTGTGTACTTCACTTAACCTTTCTTCCAGCCATGCCACATGAAGAAAATGGGGATTAAATCCTGTGGATAGGAGGACTGGTACAATAAAGGGTTCTGAAAGCTAAACATCTTGCCTCTCTGGGAATGCTGTCCAGCGGCCCAGGTAGTGGCTAAAATGGGCAGAGTAAGAAAATGAATGTCACATGAGAAGTCTGAAAACTAGAAATGGTAATAAAATATGTGATGTTGTATGGGATGGAATGGTACCCCATGGGTGAGATAGGAAACCAGTGGTGTGTTTTCCCAGTAGCTTTACCTGAGCAGCAGGGGCTGTGACAGAACATCCCTTTGTGTCTCCCTGAGCATCTGCGGTGGGGACTGCAGGAGCAGCAGGGCAGCTGACAGCCCTACGCCCAGGGGTGGAGGGGGCCCTGTGCTCACAGGGGCTGTCTCTGAGGGCAGAGAGCTTGGCTGGCTGCTTCAGTGCAGATCCTGAAGTGCTGTTGAGGGCCCAGCACAGCAGAGGGATTTTCCCAGGGCTCAGGCAGGGTTTCAGTAGCACCCAGAGCTGTCATCTCCACCTGATACATGGTGCAGCCCATGGTGAGCAGCAGGGAGGTGGCTTGTAGGCTGCTTTGAATCTTTGCAAGAGAAATGCAGGATTCTGGAGACAATCGACCAGTCCTACCTGGAGAAGACAGAACCACTGCTTCAGTGACCGTTATTGTGGTGTAAAGCGGATCTGTCCCCTGCCAGCACCAGCAGCCAGAAAGCCCTTTGCAGAGCACTGACCCACTGTAAATGCCCCTGGGAGATGCTGCACACAGGATCTGCCAGCGAGCTCAGTGACAGCTGAAATGATGCAGAACATCTCTTCAGCGGCCTCTTCTCTGCCAGGAGACAGCGCTGATGAGCTCTTACACTATAGAGAGCTCTGCTTTACATGCAGTACTTGTTTGTCTTCCTTTGTTATGCTCAGTCATCAGCCTAGAAGCACAGAAATTTCATGTGACTTACATGAACTGCTTGCTGTGTGCTGTGTGCTCCTTGCTTCCTCTTGGGTTATGTGGGGCAATGGTGTGCAGAAATAACCAATTTCAGTAATAACCAGTCTCTGGTAAAAGGGATATTTGTGCCTAGCCTGTCTTTTACAAAAGACAACTGTGTGGAACTGATAATAGCCTCCTGACTAGTAGCAGTTCGTGGCCAGCAGTTTTTCCTCATTTGATATCACTGGGCCCATCTGTTATGCTTTCTGTTTTCCTTGTTACCTCTTAATAACTTTATCTCAGTTACTCAGTGTGCAGAACACAACCAGTTGTACTAAGATGCAGGCTTTACAGTTGCTCACTGCTGAATGGAATCCTGGTCAAGACCCTCACTGATACCTAGTGCAGCATTTGAAGTTTTGCAAACCATTTCCAGCATATTTTTCACCTATAATTGTCCATGGTGTTAACAGTGAGTGTGTTCTGCTCAGGGAAATGCACAACTGGAGGGGAAAGCAGTTGCGTTGTTTCCTGGCTGACTGCATGAGGCAGAAAGTGGCAGCTTCCTCTGCTGCAAGTCTCCTGTTCCTATTCCCAACCATCCTCACCTCTGTTAGAGCCTCAACAAAACCACACGTGGGTCTGGGCTCACCCACCACCGTTTGCTGTGCTCCACATGATTGCTTGAAGTAGGAGAAGAGGATCTGTTTGTGGGAAATAGCGTCTGGGATGGGTCCTGTATCAGACACTGACCTTGGAGAGCGTGGGGGCACATCTGGTGTAGCGGGGCCTGATGCTGGGTTAGCACCCCAGGGCTGGGCAGTGAATGGCACGGAAGCAGCCGTGAGCTTCAGCAGGTGAGCACGGACAGTATCGTGTGCTGTATGTGACCCTGCACTTGCTGCTGACATTCCCTCTCTTGGCCTTGGCAATGAGCTGGCTCCTGCTTCCTGGGTGCTCTGATTTCTTACGCTACACATGCTGCTGAGTTGGAGCATCTCTATATGCTGCCCTGCTGTCACAGGGGACCCCTCTCAAGGGGGCAGTTGCTGATCAGGATCACCTCTGAATTTGACCTTGGAGAGGTGAAGACGGTGCTCACAAAGAAGGACCTTCAGTCCAGGGACCGTGTTTCTAGCCTGAGCCTAAGCCGTCCCAATACCAGGCCCTGGGTGGCGGATGTGGAAATTCTGCTATGGGAAAGAATGGTGTTTCCTGAGCCCCTGTGCAGTGCCGGCTCGCTGTGGGGAAGCGAGGGCTGTTTGTGAAAGCGGATGGTCTGGTTTCGATTAGCGTGTGAAATAAAGCAGCGGTGGTGAGGGCCCCACGGTGTCTGGTCTGGCCCTCCCCTCGCAGGCAAAGCAGGTAGGTGGGCACCACCCTGGTACTGAGCAGGAGGAAGTGAAAATGTTCCACTCATTTATTCAGCTCCAGGCTTCAGCTCTGTTTGGGACGATGGAGCCCTGACAGGTTTTCTGCCTTTTCCTCCTACAGCTGCTCTGTTGTTCCCAGAGGCATCCCAAACCTCACAGGTCTGATATACATGACAGCAGCCGCCTCCACCCACCCCCTGGTGAAACCAGGCTCAAGACCAAGCTCCCAGGAGGTGAAAACAGGCATCACTGGCCTCTGCAGAGCTGCTCAGGCCCATGGCCTGTATGAGCTGTCTCAAACTTGTGTCTGCCTCTCCTCACTTCCTTGTCCTTCCCCATCCCCAAAGAGATGCTGCTTCGTCCTTGGCTCTGACTCACTGTGGCCAAGCTCTGGAGCCTGGAGAAGCCTTCAGGCAAGAGCCAGGGGGCCTCTGAGCTGACCAGAATTGCTCTCCATGGCCGCACTCACTGGGTCTGTGGCCACCTTGGACACCTCCATGAGCCCTTTTACTTTTCCAGAGTTCCCGCAGAGGTTTGCTCGCTGGGTCCTCACCTGCCCTTTCACAGCCCCGCTCTGGGGGGAGGATCAGCATCCCTCTTGAGCACGTTTCTATCCCTCACCTGCCCTGGGAGTCGGGGGCTACTGGAGTGGCAGCACGCAACAGCATCCCAGAAACATGGTAAGGAGCAGAGCTCCAGGAAGCGGCAGTAGGGCCGGGTCTTTCCTCTGCGTCAGCTCTGCTGGGTGTTAGATTATCACACGTCCCTGGGAGGAAACCTCAGCAGAGTCTTTGGTATCTTCAGCTACAATCAGCTTGTTACATGCTGAACCATGGGCTGCTGAGCTCTTCAGTTAAGGCCACTGTGCATTTCTGGTTCCTGAAGTGACCTAATTTTTAGACATATTTTTCTATGACTGATATTCAAACTAATTCCTTCTGTCTCATCTTCATCCCATTTTCTCCTGATGGGGAGCAGAGCACAGGTGTGCAGGGGTGGCTGTGGCCAGGCTCTTCTGTTTTAATTACAGAATCACAGAATCAGACCAGCACATCAGCAGCTGCTCTCCCTGCAGCTGTGAACGTAGGTTTCAGCTGTACCAGAATCCATGCCCCGGTGTGCAGGGGTGCCCACCAGACACCTCTCCCTGCAGAAAGCCCTGGACTCAGCCTTGCCACTGGGGTTTCAGACTGTCTAGGCATGTGTCTGGTTCTTTAGTGCCTCTTTAGGAACAGAGGAATAGATACTTGGTGTGCAGAGACCTTTGCTGTTAGCGCTTCCACTTTACCCTGTGATTTCCAGAGCAGTACATCTGTTCATCTCCTGACTGGGCTCTGCCTGAGAGCAGCAAAACACCCCTGGAGGGACAAGCTCTGCAGGTTTGGGAGCTTCTGTTATACTATATTGAGAGTTTCCTGACCACCCAGGGTTAGTCTGGTCCTGCCCTTCAGGGATCTTGACAGTGTTTGATACATAAAATACAATTCTTCCACCCAGCTATTGGTACAAAGGATATTTCTCCCAGGCACTGTGTCCCTTTCCTATTTCATGATGATCAAGCTGATGGCATGTAAACTTCTGCTGCTTGGGCTCTTCCACCCACTTCAACTTCATTCCTCTAGTTCTGCAGGGGTTTGTGTGCTGCTGCCCAGCTGTAAATTGTGCAACGTCCCATCAGCACAGACACAACCTCTGCCAACCTGCCTGCGGGGCCAGCCTGTGCTGCTGGGAACAGCCCCCAGAGGAGGCTGGTACGTAGCAGTTCCCACATCTTTTCCCTTATATCCTCAGTCTTAAATATGCAACCCCACCCCCGTTCTCTTGCTGGGAAGGGGGCAAACCGTGTGTTGGACTGAGAGCAGATCGTGGCTCTCGGGTCAAGGGAAGCTGTCTCTGTTGCCTGCCTGTGCTGGGATAGCAGGCCCAGTGCTGAACGCCGAGTTCAAGAAGAGAGATGTGGGAGAGGGACCTCCAAAGGGCAACCGAGATGGTCATGGGGCTGGGCACACAACCTACAAGGAGTGTTTATGGGAGCGGGCTGGTTTTGTCTGAAGAGGGGAAGGACAATCTCATAGCAGCCCGCAACCACTTGAAGAACAGTTTTGCTGACAGTGGAGTCAAACTTTTCGCAGCAATGGCAGACAAGAGAGGGCCAACGGCCACATACAGTGTCAGAGATGCAAGGCTGAGCATTAGGAAAATCTCTGGGAGGGTGGTGCAGCCCTTTGACAGATCATCAGAGAGTGGAAGGTCCCTCTCTTGTTGGTTGTCAAGACCTTGACACATCTGACTTGGCCGGGTGCCGAGGATAGTCCAGCTCCAAGTGCCAGTTTGGCCTGAAGTCCTCCAGACATCCCTGCTGCTGACCCCGGCTGGGCTCTGTGCGGCAGAGAGGGGAGTCAGTGGCATGCTGGAATTGCTGGGGCAGGGGCACTCTCTGTCCCTCAGATTGCTTCATCCTGTGCTGACTAACAGGAAACATTCGCATTAACACAGCTGACTTCCACAGCTGGAGTCAAAGCAGAAAGACCTCTTTTTCTGCATCATCTACTTAAAATACCATTCTTCAAGGTTCATTTCTACATTAAGTCCCATCCCGCTCCTAGCCTGCAGCTTTGGTTTTATTCATAGGGCAAATGAATGGAAAGTCCTTACAAAGATGCAGCTCAGCAGCAGCTCTCCGAACGGCCATTTCCAGCCTGACAGCCTGTGGGGTTGGCAGCCACGGGGACTGTGCTCAGCTGCTTGGGCGAAGGATGGGCCCATCTGTGGGAGAGTGGGGCAGGTGCTGCTGCCTGTCCTGGAGGCGTGGGCATTTGGCTCTGCCTTTCCTGGGCTGATGGTGCTGTGGTGACACAGTCCGGACCCATTGACTCCCCCTCTCCTCCGCACACTGAACACGCCAGGACACGATGCATGGGGTGTTTGTGCCAGGGGCATGTGGGCTCTGAATGCCCAGAGCTGAGCAGTGTGTTTGTAAGGGGTGAGGGCTCTCTGGACACAGCCCCTCACTTTCTCTGGCGTGGGCCACCGAGCCCTGCCCTCAGCTCCACAGCACCATCATTCTGTCTGGTCCAAGATGCAGAGGCACAGGGCAGGCTGGCACGCAGGAGATGGTGATGGGACAGCCTGCGTGGGACAGGCTGGAACATCAGCCTGAGCGGGACAGGCTGGAGCATCAGCCCAGCCAGTACAGCACCATGGCAGAGCTGGGGCATCCTTGCCTTCACCCACCTTCAGCACCAGCAGCACCACCAGGACCAGGACTGGGGTACAACAAGCCATGATGGGTGATGGGGGCAGGAAGAGGCTTGTCCCAGCAGTGCATCGATCAGTCTGTGCAGGCTGGAGAGCTGCCAGCAGTGTGGGTCTATGTCCAGGGAGGGAAATTACCACTGCTAGAAGCAGAAGCAAAAGGCAGGCAGAAGTGAAAGCAGAGCTCAGAGACTCTCACCACACAGTTCCCCTCTCTGCAGAGTGTCCCAGAGTACCCAGCAGCATGGCCATGGACCCCCTGTCCCTCCAGGAATACATCTGCTCCCTGGACCCTGCCACCCTGCCCCGCATCATCAGGATTTACTCTGGTGTCTACTTCCAAGGTGAGTAATTGGTTCCTCCAAAGGGTGCCCAGGGCTGTGCCACCTCCCCCTGCCACTGCAGCCCGGGCTGCCTCTCCCACCCTGAAGACAGCCGGTCCCCTGCCACCGGGTGCCTGCGCCCAGGGAGAGACACTGGTGCCCGAGGCACAGCTTCCTGCGGAAAACCTTCTACATCCAAGTGCACTCAGTCATGCTGCTAGGAAAGTGGTGGGGCGCCAAAAACCATCCAAGCTGGTCCTGCACTTCATGCACAACTCTCGTCCTGGGCAGTGAACTACTAAGTGGGTCTGGCAGGGATGGAGCCACACGCTCCGTGGCTGGGGGAAGGTGGGATGGCATCACCCCTGGCCCCAGCGCAAGGAGTCCAGCGAGGGCACACAGAGCAGCCTGGTCTGACCTCTCTGCTCCCTCCTGGACTCTGTCCCCGGAGACATCTTACATCAAGGAGAAGCCTTCACCAACACAGCTTCCTCAGCTGGTGGCAATGTTGGTAATGAAATGGAACCAGAAATTAGCAAGTGCTTTTGCTTGATTTCCAGGGCTCACAGAAGTATTGGGAATGCACAGCAGGATCCTGGTAACACCACTGTGGCAATGACCATCAAGACTTTTATAGCATCTGTTTAGGTTACACTGGCTTTTGAAGAGCAGGAGAAGTGGTTGGGCTGCTTCTCCTCAGCTCAGCTGGGGTGAATGTTTAGCATTCCCAAAGACTTCTGGTGGCCTTAATCACATCTTAATGTTACTAAACAAGTAAAGATGCTGCCGTTCCAACAGCAGCAGTTAATTTGTTTAGCAGTTGCTGGTAGGCTGAGGGAGCTTCTTTACATAGCAAGGGGGTTGTCATGAGTTCATCCCAGTGAGGGTAGAAGTTTGGGGCTGCACAACAGGTTTAGTAGCAGCTCAGTGAACACAGAGATTTAAGAGCAGAAGGAGGCACTGCTTGTGTTGAAGGGTATCGTGATGTGGTAGTGTAACCTGAGGAGCTCCTGCTCCAGGAAAGGCTCCAGCTCCAGGAAGGGTACATGTACCTCAGGCCTTTTGCAGAGTGATCAAGCACCGAATCTTTCCTGCTGCATTTCTCATCTGAGTTACATCGGTTCACCCTCCAGCTGTTCCTGTTCTCTTCTGTGCTGCTTTTCTCCCTGTTACAACCCCTCCACAGTTACCAGCACTGAAAGCTTTCCAGAACATGGGCTGTACAAGCTTCCAGGTATTCCTGATTCCTTAGAAATAAGCATCAGTCCAACAAATTCCCCTCAGCCAGTGTCCTGGTTGTGTGTTCCCTTGGCTGCTGGTGAACAGTGCTGGATGTTGCAGACAGATCAGAGGGCCCTGGGGATGAATCGGTGTTGCACCCTGCACATGTGCCATCTGCATTGATGATACTTCTTAAACACTTCTGGATTTCCTGCCATTACTGAAGATCTTACTGTTTCTGTCTTTTTCTTAGCAAAAGGTTGCAGAGAACTGAGGATGAGTCTCTTTAACCAAGTAAGAAGCGATAGGCCCAGAGGGAATGGCCTCAAGCTGCCCAGGGCAGGGTCAGGCTGGCTCTGAGGAAGGATTTCTGTGCAGAAGGGGCTGTTGGGGTTGGAATGGGCTGCCCAGGGCAGGGGGGGAGTCCCCGGGATCCCTGGAGGGGTTGAAGAGTCGGGCTGAGCCAGCGCTGAGGGATCTGGGGGAGTTGGGAACTGTCAGGGTGAGGTTCATGGTTGGGCTGGAGGAGCTTCGAGGTCTTTTCCAACTGAGGCAATTCTGTGATTCTGTGAAAAATTTGGGTGGGTCCCCAAGATGTTAAACAAAACTGCTGCTGGTCTTGGCCCCTTCTCAGGCTCCTCTCCCATCTGCACACTCCTCACCTCCTCTACGTTCTCGATTCTGCTTTGTGTTGCAAAACTGCCCTGGCTTGGTGCTGTGGTGGAGCTGAGGAGCGCTTGGAGGTCCTGCACAGGACATCCACAGCCACGCGTGCCTGTGTGTCTTGTGCCAGCTGAGGGGGCCAGCCGTCTCGTGTGTGTGGAGTTAACCAAGTCTCTGCACCCAGCATGTGAAGCATCTCTGTGCTCTGGGCAGCGCAGCCTGGCTCTGTGTTTCCTCCCTCTTCAGACCATGCTCTTGATGCTGTTCCCGGGGCACAGTGTGACAGGGCACAGGGGTGCTAGAGGAGGGGAACTGGGGCTTACACAACAGGCAATACTTTATATAACTTCCTGGCTTTCATCCACCTCCCCCTGTCCAACACTCTTGGTTTCTTTTTTCACATTTATTTCCACTATTTAGTTCCCCCCGCTCCTGGGGGACAGGCACTCTCCCAGCCAGTCCCACCCACTGTTCCCACCTGTGCTCCACAGGCGAGCGATGGTCAGTGGTCTGGCCGTGCCTGCAGCAGTGTCCATCCCTCCACAGCTCGGGTGGCAATATCCATCCCATCTCTCGTGGCATATCCAGCCTTGGCTCCATCTGTCCTGCACAGACCCGCCAGGGCAGCTGTGTGTGCCCGGGCCCTAAACCAACATCTTCTTCCCCTCATAGCCAGTGGCACCAGCTCACCCCAAGCACTGGGTTAATCTGTGCCAGCCCCACCTCTGCCCGCTGCTGAGCCCACAGACCAGCTCTACCCCTCCCCGAAGAGCTCCTTCCCCTGCACTCTCCACCCCCATCTCACGGCCCCCTTCTGCAGTCCCAGGGGTTGGTGCTCCCCATGGACCCCCACAGCCACAGGGACTGGGGTTCCCTCAGGGACATCCCTGCACCCATGAATGCCAGGACATCCGGGCTTGGCTTACATCCCAGAAAGGACAAGCCTGTGGCCAGGGGACCTCATGGGACCTCATGGGGACTGCCCTGGGGACCTCATCACAGCTGGCCAAGCAGAGGGACCCCCACTATGTAGCTGGTATTTGCTAATGGCACATACCATGACTGCCTGTGATGGGAATCCCCAAATCACTGAGATTGTCAGGGGCCTCCAGAGATCATCCAGGCCAACCCCCAGCTCAAGCAGGGCCAGCAGGAACTGGTTGCTCAGGACTTTGTCCAGCTGGGGTTTGAGTATCTCCAGTGATGGAGATTCCACAGCCTCTCTGGGCAACCCGTCCCAGTGCTTGACCATCATCACAGTAAAAAAAATGTTTTCTTAGGTTCAGAGGAAGTTTTGTGTGTTTCAGCGTGTGCCCCTGGCTTCTTGTCTTGTCAGTGGGCACCACTGCGAAGAGCCTGGCTCTGTTCTCTTTGTACCCTCAGGTATTTATAGACATTAATGAGGTCCCCCTGAGCCTTCTCTTTTCCAGGGTGAACATTCCAGCTCTCTCAGCCTCTTCTTAGGAGAGACCTGCTCTAGTGCTTTAATCACCCTTGTGGCCCTTTGTTGGACTCTCTCCAGTGTGTCCATGTCCCTCTTGCACTGGGGAGCCCAGTGCCGAGCAGAGGGGAAGGATCACCTCCCCCAACCTGCTGGCAGCGCGTTGCCTAATGCAGCCCAGGACAGACCCCGTTACCTTTGCAGCAAGGGCGTGTTGCTGCTCACGTTCAGGCTGGTGGCCACCAGGACCCCCAGGTTGTTTTCCACCAAGCTGCTTTCCAGCCAGGCGGCCCCCAGCACGTGCTGGTGCCTGGGGTTGTTCCTCCCCAGGGGCAGGACTTTGCACTTCTCCTTGCAGAACGGCATGAGGTTCCTGTCAGCCCATTCCTCCAGCCTGCCAGGGTCCCTCTGGATGGCAGCACCACCCTCCGGCCTACCAGCCTCTCTTCACAGTTTTGTGTCATATGAAAACTTGCGGAGGGTGCACTCTGCCCTGCTGCCCAGATCATAAAGAAGTTAAACAGGATTGGACCCAGTATTGGTCCCTGGAGCACACTGCTAGTAACTGGCCTCCAACTCGACTTTGTGCCCTTGATCCACCCTCTGGGCCCAGCTATTCCGACTGGTTTCAGTCCACCTCAGCGTCTGTTCATCCCGTCCATTCTTCATTAGCTTCCCTATGAGGATGGGATGGGAGGTAGTACCAGAAACCTTACTGAAGGTAAACAACACCCACTGCTCTCCCCTTGTCCACCTAGCCACTCACCTCATTGTGGAAGGTGATCAGGTTGGATAAGCATGATCTCCCCTTTGTAAATCCATAATGAATAATCAAAATAACTTTTTCATACTTCTTGTGTCTCACAATGGTTCCCAGAATTAGGTGCTCCTTCACCTTTCCAGGGTTTGAGGGGAGCATGACTGCTTTGTAAGTCCCTCTCATTCCTGTCTTGAAAAATAGGAGTGACATTTGCTTTTTTTCCCCATCTTCAGAAACCTCTCTCGGTTGCCCATGACCTCTCAAAGATAATAGAGTCATCTATTCACAAAGTCATCCTTCATGGGTGCAACCCAAGTAGACCCCACGGACTTAAGTGTCTCCACTCTGTTTAGTGCTCCCTTACCTGGTCCTCCTCCACCAAGGGTAGGTCTTCCTTACTCCTAATTTTTTCCCCTGGTCTCAGGGGAAGTCATAGAATCACAGAATCATTCAGGCTGGAAGTCCAACCATCAACCCAACTCTACAAAGTTCTCCCTACCCCACATCCCCCACAGCTCATCCCAACGGCCCTTAAACCCCCCCAGGGATGGGGACTCCCCACTCCCTGGGCAGCCTGTTCCACTCTCGGACCACTCTTTCGGTGAAAAATCTTTTCCTCCTGCCCAGCCTGACCGTCCCCTGTGGCAGTTTCCAGCCGTTCCCTCTTGTCCTGTCCCTGATCCCCTGGGAGCAGAGCCCAGCCCCGGCCTCTCTGCAATGTCCTGTCAGGAGCTGCAGAGAGGGATGAGGGCTCCCCTCAGCCTCCTCCTCCTCACACTGAACACTCCCAGCTCCTTCCCTGGCTCCTCACAGGATTTATTCTCCAGCCCTTCCCCAGCCTCATTGCCCTCCTCTGCCCTCGCTCCAGCCCCTCGAGATCTCTCTGGGATTGAGGTGCCCAAACCTGGACCCAACCCTCCAGGTGTGGCCTCACCAGTGCAGAGCACAGGGGGACTGTCACCTCCCTGCTCCTGCTGGTCACACTATTTCTAATCCAAGCCAGGAGGCCCTTGGCTTTCTTGCCCACCCGGGCACACTGCTGGCTCGTGATCAGCTGCTTGTCAATGAGAACCCCCAGATCCTTCTCTTCCAGACAGCTCCAGCCACCCCTCCCCGAGCCTGTAGCCATGCAGGGGGTTGTTGTGGCCCAAGTGCAGGACCTGGCACTTGGCCTTGTTGAAGCTCATTCTGTTAACATTGGCCACCGATCCAATCTATCCAAGTCTCTCTGTAGAGCCTCCCTATCTTCATGCAGATCAACACTCCCACTTAACTTGGTGTCATCTGCGAATTTACTGATGATACACTCTGGGTCCTTATCAAGATCATCAATAGAGATGTTGAACAAAAATGGTCCCAACACTGAGCCCTGAGAGCTGTAAAGACTGAGGACAGAAAGGAATTGAGCACATCAGCTTTCACCACAGCCTTTGCCACCAGGTCCCCAGCCCCATTCAGCAGCAGACCCACATTTTCTCCAGTCCTTTTGCTATTGATGTAATTGTAGAGGCCTTTCTTGTTACCCTTCACATACTTCAACAAATTCAGATCCAGGTAGGGTTTGGCTTTCCTAACTCCATCCCTGTGTGCTCAGAGACCACGTCTCTGTGCTACTTCTGGGCCACCTGCCCCTGCTGCCACTGTTTGTGCAGTTCACACTTGGGAGAAGTTCACTCAGGAGCTCCCAAGTGCTGGACAAGAGCACCAACCACCTGCAGGTATTCTGAGGAAGCAGTGAAGGACTGCTTACAGAGGGTGGTGGGGCGCTGGAACAGGTTGCCTAGGGAGGTTGTGGATGCCCCATCACTGGAAGGGTTCAATGTCAGGTTCAGTGGGATGTGAAGCAACCTGATCTAGTGAAAGATATCTCTGTCCATGATGGAGGGGTTGGACTAGGTGGTTTTTTAAGGTCATTTCCAACCCAAAGCATTCTGTGTTTCACTGCGATGCTGGTAGAGGCATTTTCTTTGAGGAAATTCCCTCCTCACCCTGCAGGGTCTGTGTATGAGATCTCAGGCAACAAATGCTGCTTGTCAACGGGTGACCTGAAAGTCACGGCCGTGGTGCTGCAGAAGGTCGTTTGTGAGGACACAGAGACAGGGCAGACAACAGAGCTGCCACCAACGTTTAAGGGTGAGTGGGGCTGCCTTTCCCCAGCCCACACCCCATGGGTGCCCTCCTCCCCAGGGTGACCTTTGCAGACCTCATGGGCTCATCCTCATTGTCCCCCAGGTCTTTTCCAGCCTGCCCCAGCCCCAGGGCCACGCCTGACGCCGCGGGGACCCTTGCTGCAGGGCGGCAGGCAGCAGGGCCTGACGCTGCACCAGGTGCTGGGGCAGTGGGACAGGTGGCCCCAGCCCCTGCTGTGCCACGTCATCAGCCCCCGGGCCCTGCTTCTGCACCCCGTCTATGAGGTGCACGCGGTCATGCACTGTGAGTCCATGCGGGGCAGGCGGGGTGCTGCGGGGTCAGGGTGGGGTGCTGAGTGGTCAGGGTGGGGTGCTGAGTGGTTAGGACAGGGTGCTGAGCGGTCAGGACAGGGTGCCACCAGGTCAGGGCTGGGATGCCGCGGGCTTGGGGTTGCGGCACAGAGGGTGGGGGCCATGCAGCCAGGGCAGGGGTGCTCTGGGGTGGGGATGGGGGTGCTGCGGAGCTGGGACCACACACTAGTTTGGTGCTGGGACCCCAACACACACGGTGTGGGTGGCTGCAGCTGCGGGGAGGGGGAGATGAGGTGGGGGTCCTCTCACACATGGGGCCGGTGAGAGGCTGAGAATGGGGTCAGGGCAGCTCTGCCCCCCCAGTGCGTCGCGACGTGGTGAAGATCCTGTCCTCGCTGGAGGTGGACGTGGAAGATGTCACGGAGGAGGCGCAGCACATCCACTTCGCCCGGCCGCTGCTGCTGAGCGAGGTGCTGGCGATGGAGGAGG